TTTTTGTTGTTGTTTGACTTCTTGTTGTTGGTTGACAGCGAGGAGTATATCTTCGGCATCTGTTGGATTAGCTGATCCTTCAGCTGGATCGCTGGGTACGATGGGTGATGATTGAGGAAGGGAACCACTGATGGGATGGCATTGGGGTCGCTTCGCCCTCGCGTACTTGACGCTCTGCTTGCGACCAGTGCCCCGTCGTCGCTTTGGCATTTCAAATACGACCAAGAAAGTTTAGAATCCCGCCAATACTTTTAAAGATCACCAACATAACGTAAATGACCAATTTATGATCACTTTTTCGAAGGCGTCATCGAAGAATTCACCATATCTCCGGTCTCAGGAACAATTTTCACATTCTGTAAAGTGATTGTTAACAACGAAACATGTTGCTTTAACCTCATCATCATATTATCGCCTTTAAGAATATTGTTCAGGTACAAAAGTCAGACTTTCCAAGCAAGTTTACACTGTTTTTGGAGACCAATTTATGATGCCATTTTTAAGCTTGAACTATGTATGGCAACTTGCTTACAAATTGTGCGGATAGGGTACGTATTGTTGACAGGTAAAATATCATTTTTCAAGGTTATGCGTTTCAAGAGGAGAAGTACTTGAACTCTCGCATTTCAAATAACGACAAGAAACCATGGCACTCGAAACAGATAGACAAGTGACACAGTGAACAAGGTATTTTAAGATGCAAGCATGTACTCCGGAGTACGACATTGACCATCAAAGCTGTGATTGGGATTTGTTTGGGATTTGAAACTCGAGCGTATAATTTACGAGAGGTTTGCCGCCAAAAAATATTGCGATGCGATTGGCTGATACGGAGAGATCATAAATTGGTACAGTGATCATAAATTGGTCATTTACGTTAATAATATTTATTACGTTGTACACCAGCTTTTTTTGAAATTGTATGTGATTTTTTATAATTGACTTTCGTAAATAATCATTATATCATTGTATGTCGCCTTCGCGGCAAAATAAGTCGCAAAAGCGCTCTGCACTATCTCCTCGGTCCATAGAACGAACCTAGCGCTGTAATATAGCTGATGTGGTAGGTATATGTCGTATCTCCCACATGGGACCATTCGTGTTCAATTTGTTTCACTGAGTCAGAATCCTTTGATGCTGACCCAAAACGTCTTACAGGCTGCCCAAACATACAGCAGCTAGTTGCGCCTTGTGCCGTTGCGCTAGTGTCGATCACGACACCATGCCGGCACAATGGCCAGGACGACCCTATCCAAGGTTTGCTCTCTGATATAGCACGCAACAGTATAGAGCTATAGATTTTCTCAGAACTCTATCAATTTCCATACTTTAATCAAGTCAAAACAAATGGCGAAGTGTATATTAGTCAATCGACTGTCTCGGCTCTATTTGTACGAAGCATGGAAAATCGGGAATCGAGAAAAAACGACGATATAATAATGCTCACACATTTGCTATTCAGTTTAAGTAAACAACAAAATTTGACACAAGAGATTGCATTTTCATGAAGATCTATACTAATTCTTTTTACGACGCTATGTCCCTCGTGGGAGCACAGCACTCGTGATTGGAGAATTTTCGACCACAGGTGCCGTTTGGGCAATTTCTTCACTAGGCTGATTGTCTCGTTCATATTCACGCACCATGGCATACCTATAGTCGCACACATGCCCGCACCTGGTTTGCGCGACCTCTGCAACACCTCTGCTGGTGCATCGGGGCATCGGAACCTCACCGCCGACCAGCGTCGGAGCATCTACGAATGTCTCCTTGCGATGACAGTCAAAGGGCGGCTGCCACACGGTGCATTCCAAAAGCTATGTACAAGGTATGGCTGCCATTGGCGTACTGTATCTCGCATTTGGACACGAGCTGTGGACTCTCTTGCTCAAGGCCCGACACCGCCGCCAAAATCGTCGGTAATATCTCTATAATATGATATTTTCCCCCACATCTACAATTTGTCATGGTTATCATTTCTTACGGTATGCTGTTTAAGGTAACTCTGGACGATAACTGACACGACGACACGACGACATCGAGGCGGCCATTCGTTCCGTTCCCCACCACAAGCGCCAGACACTGAGGTCCGTCGCGGCACAC